GTTCAGGTACATCTTGCCCACGTCTCCGGCGTTGCGGCTCATCCAGTTCTTGGAATCCATCCCTTCCCCTAAATGGAAGACCTGCGGAGGAAAGTGACGCCGGAGACACCGGAGGAAATCCTTCAGCAAAAGCACCGGGGAACAAGGGAACGCACACTTGTGTATGCATGAGCACATGAGGGATGGGAAGACTATTTGAAAATATTTGCAAAACGGTATTCACACACAAGCAAACACACACACACACACACATTTTTCGAGTGCTGAAAAATCCTGAGACAAACCCTGGACTGATGAGAATCTTTGCAATTTGGGACTCGTTGTGTGCAAAATTCAAATATGGTAGTTTTGCATAGAAAACAGCATTATTTTTTTCTGTACAGAGGGTAATCCATTTGCCCCTCCACATCTACTGACCTTTTTTTAATCCACGGATTCAACCATCCACAGCTTGAAAATATTTTTTAAAAATATAAATTCCGAAAATATATATGGAACGCCATTTTGCTCTCTGCCGTTGTGTTTAATGGTATTGGTATCCATGGGGTGGGTGGGGGTGATGCTGGGGCCAAACCCCAGCCAAGGATACGAAGGTCCCACTGTATTACTATGCAGAAATATTATTCCCTGTGCAGAAAATGCTTTTTCCTGTGCAACCACGTGCAAACTTTATGCAGAATGAGTCCCAAATTGCAAAGAGGCTTCAGAAACAGTGTGGTTTTTGATGTGAGGAATCAATAGCCCATTCTCTCACAGACCAGACCAGAACAAGCACAGACCTGCAACTGCATTTCCACACATGTTGCATTACAACTCCCATCATCCCCAGCCAGGGCAACCAGTTTGTGGGTAGTAGAGTGTTGTGACACATTGGAAGGAAGGCCATTGATTGTGTCCCACACGTAGGAGGACCCCCTCCGGAGCTGTGGGGCCCCTCCGTCCCGTACCTCGTCCGCCCCGATGTGCACCCAATGAGACCTCCGGTGCTTCTTGAGGACCTGGGTGAGGACTGCCTTCACGACGGCCAGGGTCTCCGGCACGTGGGGGTTGAAGCTGTTGGGGAAGCGCTCCACCTCCCGCAAGCGCCGGTATTTGTCATGCTTCAGGATGAACTACGGAGAAGGAGATGAAGGAGAGATGAGCCAGGGATGGAAAAATGGGGGACTCTAACACCCAGCATGGGGAGAAGAAAAGTGGCTGGTGGCTTGTGTGTGTCCGCTCCTGGGTTTTGGTCTCAACTCTAAAGGAGTTAGCCAAGGTGCTGATTCCTATCCCCTCAAATTGCTCTGGCGCACCAGACAGCTCCTTTTAAAAAGTTCAGACTAAAATGCAGAGCAGATCTGCTGTCATGGACCTGCGACATGCAAATGTGCATAACTTTGCAGCAATTTGCATAATACACCCTAATTTGCAGGCAAGTGTGAACTGTTCCATCATTGCAAGCAAGGCTGCACACAGTTACTGGTCCACATTTTAAAAAGTGACCTTATTTACTCGTTCCCTTGCAAAGTAAGTGTATTATGCGAATTGCTGCGAATTTTTGCACATTCACATCAACACTTAATTGCATTCACTTTCCTGGGCAAATCTGCACCTGTTTGCCCTTCCTCTGCCAAAAATGCACAGCCATGAAAATCTATGCAAACTGGATGGACGGCCAAACGTTTGATGATATGCATTGTTGCAGATACTTGGAGACGCTCCGGTAAAAACCACAAATCCTTTTCAAGTGAAGTTTATGGAGGTTCCTCTCGTAAAAAGCCCCAATTCCTTCAAACTGGATTGCATTCTATTGGAATGAGGAGTATTTTAATTGTGCAGACAAGCCTTTAGTCCTGGATAGCCATTTTTGTGGCCGTTCAGCACCATGAAAAATGCAAAACAAGCCAATAATTTTGTTTTTATCCATGGACCTTTCTCTCTTTCCCTGCTCTCCTGCAAGAACGCAAGCAAGTGGCCCTCGCCAAAAGCAACCCAGTCCACCCACTTTCGCTTTGCAAGAGCAGCCAGAGGTTAAACAGGTCAAGCTCCTCACATCTTGCACTTTAACTGGTGGAAATGCAAAAAGGCTGGAGGGCAACTGCTCTGAGACTGGCGCTTGCCTCACCCCTCTTTCTCACTCAGGGCCAGAGAATCCAGTTTCTCTTTAGCAAATAAATCCAAGCAAGGCTTAAAAGGTTGTTTGCTCAGCGCCCAGCATCCTTGGGTCAGGAACCGGACCGACCAGCTCTGATGCCAAAAGCACCATGGATGCACCCTTTGCCCTCTCTCACCTGCCGAAAGAAAGGTCTCTGACTAGCACTAGCCTCAGGAGTAACCCTCGGGAAATAAATACCGGAGCCTAGGGGGTGGCTGAGAGGATGCTGCTCTTCTAATAATAATAATAATAATAATAATAATAATAATAATAATAATAATAATACATTTTATTTCTTTCCCACCTCTCCTCAAGGCTCGAGGTGGGATACAACATGTTTCTGCAAAGAAAAAAGAGTTCTGAAATCAGTTTAGACTCGGCTGCCGCTGCCCACACCTTTGCTGGCCAAAGTGCTTGCTTTGCAGCAAGCTCAGTCCAAGGGATCTGACCTACAAATTCCTATTCCCCTTGGGGCCAGGATATCTGAAAGACCACTTCCTTCGCTATGGATCTCCCCCAGATTTAAGATCAGCAGCTGCTGCATATATCCCATCCCCCCCCCCCCAAAAAAATTGGCAAATGCACAAAACAGGGTCTTTTCCATAGTTATGGAAATCCTTCCCAAGGAGAGTCAAGCTGGCTCCATTCCCTTGGAGTTTCCAATACAGGTTGAGCCCCCATTATCCAAAATGCTTGGCGCAACAAATATTTGGGATTTCACATTTTATTTTTGGATTTTGCGATATATGCACATTCATTATGAAATATTTTAGAGGTGGGACCCAAGTCCAAACATCAATTTCATTTCTGTTTCATATACATCTTATAAACATAGCTTCAAAGTAATTTTTATACTTAACAATACTTTTATAATTTTGTCTATGAAACAAAGTTTGTGCACACCGAATCCTCAGGAAGCTAAGGCATCACTCTCTCAGCCATCTACATGTGGGAAATTTTGGAATATTTTGGATGAATTCCAGATAAGGGAGACTCAATCTGTACGCAGCTAAGACTGTGTTGGTCCTCATGGCCTCTGGTCCTCAAAAAGTTTAATAGTCATAATATTATCATAATATTTATTTATTACCATCCTCTCCCCATGGTTTAAACTGTGTTTGGATTTTCTGAAATTTAATTTCCATCTTTTTAATTTAAATTAAGCTTATTTATTTCTATTTTAAAACTAATTGTTTTTGCCTCTTTTTAAATGTGTCTAATCTCTTTTCTATCTAATGTTTTTAATGTTTTTGTCTGTTCTACACCATCTCAGAGCCCCTGGCAGGGCGAGAAATGATAAAGAAATGCTTGAAGTAAATGAACAATTCGTTCTTTCTGCAGGCAGTATGGTATCTTTGCGATCAAAAAATGTTGGCAGCCGTTGGCAAATTTCATGCAAACTTCCCGTTGGCTTGTTTGATCGGCAGCCAATTCACCCAGATGCGAACTCAGTCCCATCCAGAGGCCGACAGATCTGCCCTAAGATTTCACTTTTGCATCACCCTTTGCAACTTGTTCAGTGTCTTACACGAGTTTCGAAAAGTGACTTTTTGGAGAACAAGTCCTTTTTCCAAACAGCTGCTGTGCACCCTCACCCACCCATTTCCTAATGCATTTTTCAAGAGTTTTAGGCAAACCATGTTTTTTCAAACAAGGAAAGGACTCCATTAATGGGAGAAATCCTAGCTTTATTTCTCTGTGGCTTTTGTTCTTATTATAACACCACCCTTGTGTGATCAAAAAGCCATAGCAAATGGGGATGACATGAGCAAAGGCAAAATGAAAAGTGCATTTATGATTGCAAAAAAATCTCAGAGACGAAAAACTCAACAGGGATTTCTCTCCTTGTGGTGAAATTTCCCTGCAATCCAGAAATCACACAGTGGTCAAGTTGTGTTATAAACCATCTGGCTCATCTAAGATCTCTTTTTCTTGAACTTAAAAGCATGCAAAGCCAATTTTGCAGAGAGCAAGGTCTAATTTGCACTGCAGAATGAATGTATTTTGATACCACTTTAACAGCCATGGCTTCATGCCATGGGATGCTGAGATTTATAGTTTCTTTTGGCAACAGAGCTCCCTGACAGAGGCGGCTAAATAGCTCACCAAACTATAGATTCCAGAATTCCATAGCACTGACCCATTGTCATTAAAGTGGTGCCAAACTGCATTATTTCTGCAGCGGAGATTTGACCAAGGCAGGGGTTTAGAAAGGGGCAGTTGGATTGAGTAAATTAACCCTTTTGGGGTTCAGACCTGGCTCTGGATGGGCTTCCCCAGATTTCCCTCCCTCAACGAGTTTATTTGGTGGTTTCTCAGCTTTTGCACGCTGTTCTCTCCTTCTAAAAGGCTGCATTGTCTCTGAGGATTAGTTGCTGGCAGCCAAGAGTTTTAAACTAAAATAAACTGGTCATCTTTGGCTCCCCTTGCTTGTTCCGGAACCAGGGACAGTTCCAGACCTCTCCAAGAGTTCTTTTGCTGCTGGACACTGGCATTGCTTTCTTTGTGGCCAGCGATGCAGCAGGTGGTCTACAAGAGAGAAGCATCCCAGCCCTTTGGCTCTCTTTGCAGCAGCCAAATTGGGGCCCCGAACAGCTCCTTCTCCCCAGACAATCCCCGGGAAGTGTGCAAACATGTTAACAACAGATTAAAATCCACTCCTCTCTTCCGTTCCCAGCCTTCATATCTTTTCCCAGCCTTGAAATACAAAGCGAATGCAAAAGGTATCCGACAAGGACACTTAATGCAAACTAACCCCTTCTATCTCACTCGATAGTGGATAATGTTTGGCAGTGATGCCATGCCAGCAAGGACTCCAAAGCCCATTTGCCAGGTGGCAGAGAACCAAAGAAAGGAGGGAAGAGCCAGCGTAGCACAGAGGTTTGAGCACTGGACTATGACTCTGGAGACCAGAGTTTGAATCCCCACTCAGTCATGGAAACCCATTGGGTGACCTTGGGCATGTCACACTCTCTCAGCCATGGGCAAAGGCAATGGCAAACCTCCTCTTGCCAAGAAAACACCATAGCGTTTAGCATTTAGCAAGTGCATTTACATTTCTATGCTACTTAACAGTGAACTCAGCGCTCTCTAAGCAGTTTACAATCTGTCAGCCAATTGCTCCCAACAAGCTGGGGACTCATTTTACCAACCTACGAAAGGATGGAAGCCTGAGTCAACTCTGGAGCCCTGGGTTCGAACTCACAACCTTGTACCTGCAGTCCAGACATTTAACTACTGCTCCATCAGGGCATAATAAGTCCACCATAATTTGGAAACGACTCGAAGGCATGCAACAGCAATAACAAAGAGACCCAATTCCCAGCACCGCTCTTGTGCCATCGGCTGTGCCCACTGTGGGACCCCATCGCGCCAATGTCGGATCATGGGTCTCAAGTGGGGAGGCCCTGAGAGCGAACCACAAATGTCATTGTCCCCACTCCCTTTTTGGAGAAGCAGGGGAAAGGAATTGCAAGGACTCGAATGGTAGGAAAGGTTTGGTGGGTGCTTACCTCCACGTGTCCAAACGTCTGCACCAGTGGGATCACCTCCAGTTTGTTCCGCTCAGCCAACTCCAGGACTTTCCCAATGTCTTCTTCACTGTCGGGAGACAAGAGCAGATCCTAGGACTGGCTCAGGACTTGGTGCCAGCCATCGCAGGGGTCTCTCGGTACAGGCAGGGAAGGAAGCATGGACTAACTGTGGCCTTGGACTACTTGCAACTACCAACGCAGACCAAGGATTTGACTATGGATTACCTCTACTGCAAGGACTGACTGCGGACTACGTATTGTGACACTACGATGTTATGTGATATTACCTTATGATAAAGAATATTGGCTTTCACGGAACTGGTACGATTTGTGTTGTGCTTTAAAAAGACTAAACTTGCAAGAACGTTGCACAACTTATAAGGCTCAAAGGTGGCCGTGAGACCCAGATCGTGAAACCTGGATGGATGTGCGCATACATGCCCATCAACAGAGGCAGAGCAAGTGGCCTGGTCCCTGAAAGGGAGGAAAATGGGTGGAATGCCAATCTTCTTGTCTCCATTCCCTTTGCAGGGGGGCACATCCAGGTCTGGGGCTGCCTATTCTGCTCACCCTCCTGGTACCTTTCTCTCCCTATCCGCTAGTGCAGGGGTAGGCAACCTTGCCCCTTTAAGGGCCAAGGGACTTCAGCTCCCAGAATCCCAAGAGCTATTGGCCAACATGGGACTATTAGCCAACATGTCTGAGGCTTCTGGGAGCTGAAGTCCCTCGGCCCTTAAAGGGGAAAGGTTGCCTACCCCTGCGCTAGTGCTTGCCTTACCTGTAAGCATAGGGAGATCTGAGGATTTCCAGCTCTCCTGTGAAGGGAAACATGTCTTCGTACTCAATTAGGACTCCATTGGCGCCCAGTTTGGAGAAAAGTGGGAAGATCTGCAAAAAAGCAAAGCCAACTCTGAAATGCAGTCCAGGACCTAGAAAGAGTTGCTGAGGATGGATCCAACTGGCCACATTTGCTCTGGGGAGGCAGCCAGGAAAGGCAGTGGGGTCCCTATCCTTCCCCCCCATAAGGAGCCAAATTCCCAAGTGAGTGGCGGTTCTCCTTCCCCCCCAAAACCAGGTATCTCTGACCTCTTTGGGGGCCATGCAGGTGTGCACGCTCGTGCCTTTCATTTCAGGTGAGAGGGACTGAGCTTCCAAGTCATTTACTTAGATTTATTTCCCTTTAATGCAGTGGTTCCCAAACTTTGATCCTCCACATATTTTGGACTTTAACTCCCAGAAGCCCTAGCCAACTTGGCCAACTTTTAGGAGTTCTGGAAGCTGAAGTCCAAAACATCTGGAGGACCAAAGTTTGGGAACCACTGCCTGAATAGAATGTTCCTTTTGCAATTTAATGGCATATTATGAATCCTATTGTCAGGGAAAGGTAGGATATAAATCTTTCAAATAAATAGTTTGCAATTTAATGGCCAAAAATAATGTTTACTTTTTTTGCAAGGGAAGTGAGCTTAGGACTAGGACTCTGGAGACCAGGGTTCAATTCCCAGCTCAGCCATGCAAACCCACTGGGTGATCTTAGGCAAGTTACACTCTCTCAGCTTCAGAGGATGGCTTTGGCAAACCCCCTCTGAAGACACCTGCCAAGAAAACCCCACAACAGGCTTTTGCTTTTGGGTCGCCATAAGTCAGAAACGACTTGAAGGCACACAATAACTTTACAGCTGAAGTTGTTGCTCCACTTACTGACCAGAGCTCCCAGACCAGGGATACGTTTAGTGGTGATATAGCTGGTTTCTCCAGGTTTTAATCAGGGGTGAGAAATGTGTAGCTGTTGCATTGCACCTCCCATCATCCCTCACCACTGGCTAGGCTTGCTAGGGGCTGCTGGGAGCTGCAGTCCATCAGCAACCGGATGGCTGCACGATTCTTACTGTTGCTCTGGGGCCCACGCGCCAAATTTCTCAGCCGTGGTCACGGTGCATCTCACCTGCTCCAGGTAGGCTACTTTGGGGGCTGCCCCCTTGAGGTCCAGGTGAACCAGCCGCATGGGGGTCAAGCTGAGACCCTGAAGCGGTTGCCTCTTCGTCTCTGGCCTGGCACCCGCTGCCCCCTTGCTGTCCGAGAGCTCAAAGGATGGGTCCCTGATCCTGACAGATTCCTGGGGGTCTCCGGGGTCACCCCAAAAGTTGTTCTTCCCGCTGGGCTCCCTGTGCCGGTCCAGAGTGAAGCTGCAAGTGTGAAAGAGACACAACAAGGATGAGGGAGGCCAGGCAAGTTTAGGGTTGCCATCATTCTCTTCCACAAAACTGGGACAAGATTATGAACACTCCTCCTACCCCAAAAATGCCCCACACATTTTGACATTTAATAGTGTTTTATTGCATATTATTGTTGTTGCTATTTATATATTGCCATCAATTTACATTCTGGGATTCACAGTTTGCTGCTACAACTGGCCTGGACATTTTTCAGACTCTTCACTCCAGGATTTTCCTGGTTTTCCAAAACAAATGGTAGATGGTGGACAGCTGGTGCTCAAAATGGTAGCTGGCAACATCCTTTTTGGTGCCCAGAAATGGACAAAGGAGGTCTTATTCCAAGGGAGGTCTGACCAAAGCAGAATAGAGCGGCCCTCTTTCTTCTCTCAATCCAGACATTATACTTTTACTGATTCAGCCTGGAATTGCACTGGCTTTTTTAGCTGCTGCATCACATTGCTGGCTCTTAACCCTTCATATTATCCCTTCTCTTCTCCAAGCTAAACCTTCTCTGCTCCCTAAGTCTTTCTCATAAGGCATGGTTTCCAGATGCTTCACCATTTTTGTTGCCCTTCTTTGGACACTCCAGTTTTGCAATATCCTTCTTGAATTGTGGTGCCCAGAACTGGATGCAGGTTCCAGGTGAGGGCTGATCAAAGCAGAAGAGAGTGGGACTATGACTTGGTTTTGCACACTTATCCATGTGTACTAACCTGTCCCGGAAGAAAAACTTGATGCCCGCCAATACGACCGTGAGAAGCACCACCAGCCGCAGGAGATTCAGTTTCTGGTTCCGATGGAGCGCCATCCCTGCCGAAAAAAGGACAAAATCGAAGAGTGGTGTGTGATACGGCCATGAGACCCAACACCTAGCAAGGCTTAAGCCAGACCCTGATCCTATGCACAACCCTTAATAGATGCCAGCTGGACTTTTGTTATTTAGACATATAATAATAATAATAATAATTGAACAGTTAATAAAAAGATGCAAGTCTTTGCTAATTTTCTTTCCAAAGAAAGGAGTGAGAAACTGTGGCACTTTTCTTCTTGTGGCAAGAAGGTCACAAAGTATGAAAAATGCAAAATATTACATTACAAATCCTATTCTACAGAAGTTAAAGAAGAATGAAAAGCCAATGGTTATTAAAACCATAGTAATTAAAACATATTTAAAACATGAATTGCTAATTTTTTTTTTTAAAGCAAGGGTAAAGATGTGGGGGAAATACTTTGATCTCAAAAGCCAAACTAAAATTTGGAGATGGCATCCAATAACAGAAGACCCGGACTATCTCTGCCTTGGCATCTGCATTTCAGCAACCTGAGTTTTATTTCTGGGATGAGGATAGCCAGCATCCTCCTTGCAATGACAGTCCCTTGTAATTTCCAGAGTCCTGGGTGCGAAAGAGTGACAACTTTCACACTTCCCAAACATGGCCTGGGATCTCTGCAGTTTCGGAGGAAGGAGCGAACGAAGGGAAGGTGCCAACGTGGCATCCAGGGATACGTTTCCGTGGCATTTCCATGGCACCGTGCTTGCACTAATTAATTACTAGTGCATGCATGCAGCAAGGGAGGTTTGGTGCATTGTAAACAGGGGAGGACAGAGTAACCCTACCCAATCCCATGGGTTACTCTCTGCATCCCATCCCATGGGGGTGCAATTGGGGCCCTGGGTTTTATCGATCCATAACAAGAAGGTTTTTGAAACAACAACAACCCAAAAGGTCTCTTAAGAAGATGAGGACCACAGAACCGCAGAGTAGTAAGACCATTTAGTCCAATGGTTCCCAAACTTTGCTCCCCCAGATGTTTCGGACTTCACTTCCCAGCAGCCCCAGCCAGTTTGGACAACAGTCAGGAATTCTGGCAGCTGAGATCCAAAAACATCTGGAAATGGTGTCAAAATGCATCATTTCTACAGTGTAAATGCATCCTCTCCCGAGGATCTCAAACCCAGTCCAGATGCATCCTTTTAATAAAAATGATTTCAAATATTTGCAATTATTTGTAAAAACCAGTTTTGCAAAGAGAAAGCCTCTTTTTTCCTGCAAAAAGCAGCCCAAACCCCTGGAAAGGCAGCTTTTGGGGAGATGGCCTTTGAAGGTCAGCAAACCCAGGAGACCAAAGAGCAGATTTATCATGGCTTTGCGGGGGAATGAATGCAGCCAACCAGGCAAACAAGA